CACTCTGATAAATGACACAGGCCCCAAAGGCACAAAGATGATGCTTAGCTTAGGAGAAAGAAAAAGCTCACATCACAATGAGTTTTTCTCTATTTTCTTTCTGAACTGATAAAAATCAATCTCTACCTCTATCTCCGTTTCTTTCTCCTCTCTCTCTCTCTCTCTCTCACTCTCTCTCTCTCTCTCTCTCTCTCTCACACACACACACACACACACACACACACTACTTTGCATTACAAAGCTAGAACACACACACAGACACAGAGAGAGGCATACACACACACATGCCAGCAGTTCAGAGCCCTTACATTGAAAACCTATTGATCTGAGTTCCATCCCAGAGAAAACAGCAAACAACAAGTGTCTCACATATGTAATCCCAACATCCCTAAATCCAGATTGGAGGCTGAGAGATTAGAACAGCTTTGAAACCTACAAACCAGCCAGACTGGAATGCACAGAGGCTCAGAAACATTGAGAGACCCTGTCTCACCCAGTGAAAGCAGAGAACCACCTCCTGAAGGTTATCTTCTGCCCTTCACACACACACACACACACACACACACACACACACACACACACTCTAGCATAGCACAAACTGGCATATTAAATCAAGCACATAAGCACACACACACTCAGATAATAAACAGTGTCGATATATCCATTGGTGCTCCTGTTGTGTGACTAGCATATAAGGAAAATGTTTTCAGGGTCTTCTCAGTCATCTTCAGAGTTTCTGTTTTCCATGTGGCGTGCATCCTGGAAAACTATACTTGTACCATGTGGCCCTTTCATTCCCTTTTTATAACTGGCTTAAGCATACTTAGTTAATGATGGAGCAATGAGAGAAACATACGGCATGTGAAAATGTGTCTAAGGTTCACAGATATCTCAAGCTTTGATGTTTTCAAGTTCATCATTCTCAAGGAAACCAATGAACTGAACATTTTTACATAGTGCACTGAGCAGTTTGGGCATACATGTAGGATGTGTACTTCCTCATCTGTTTTCCTTTGACAAATGATGCTTCTTAAGCTATTTTGTTTAATCATCTCCATGTTACACTGTTTGATGATGTTGGGTAAGCCTTGGAACGTTTGAGTTTTTCACACAAGTAGAACAAAGTCTCCTCAAACCTGGTACAGAAATGTAAACATAGACTGCTAAGTTAGGAATCTCCCTGAGATGTCATGAATGATTACAAGGTAGCATCATTATTTGTAATTGAAATAAAAGTTGATGAGGCTCCCCTTCTGACAAACAGCATCAAATGCATTTTCAAAACTGGCACTTCCTAAATGTATCTGATTAAATCAGGTGGTGTTCCATGTATCCTATCTAAGCAAACATTATGGATTGTCTCAACTCTTTTGGCATAATCCACTGCTAAATACCCCTTCAGCCTTCAGGGTATGGATCCTTCAGGCTCTGTCCATGTCATTGGATGATGGTTATATTATTTTCTATTGCTGTAATAAAACACCATGCCCAAAGCAACATCTAGAATGAAGGGTTTATTCAGAGTGTGGCACATGGTTCCAATGGGATACATACAGTTTCTTCACCACCATGATTCAGGCCGGCAGGCATGGTGCTGTAGCAGCAGCTGACAGTTACATTTAGCTCTATACAAAAAACCGAGAACTCACTAGAAATAGCACCAGTCTTCTGAAACCCAAGACCACACAACTACTCCAACAAGGCCACACCTCCTAACCTTCCCCCCAAATAGTTCCACTACCTGGAAACCAACATTCAAATATATGAGCCTATGAGTCTGTTCTTCTTCAAGCTACCATAGAGATGCTGGAACAGGCCATTATGTTCATCAACCATATATAAAAAAGAGTCCTAGCTAAGGAGTAGGAATTTGGATGGCATCTCCCAGAACCCTTACTTCAGCTCCATTGTTCCCATCTGCTGTGGGTAGTGGCACACTTTATTTCTGCATTTCAAAAGTCGCCCTCACTATTCTATTATCCTGGGAACCTAATGGGCAATTGTGAAAGGCCATGGGGAGAGCATTAGTGTGGTGCAGAAGAGAGAGGTTTTTTTTGTTTCCAAAGCCCCGGATTGTCACATTATCTTAATCTGGATGGAATGTAAAATCCTTGTCATAAAGACAGGAGAAGACACATTGTGTCTTTTTATTCATCTTCCCAGTATAGAGAGGTAGCAAAGAACAGTAGAAAAGAAGGCATAAAGCTGAGCAGATCCCCTTTCAAGATTCTCAAACTCTGGGCCTTTGACTAAAACAGAATGGAAGCTAAAGTTTCAGGATATCAGCAGTTATAGTGATAAAATTAGCCTGAGCAAACAAACATTTGGGTACTATAAATCAAGACCCTGACATGAACAGATAAGATCTAAAATGAATAAAAATAAGTGAAATTTTCAATGAAATCTAACATCTCCAAATTTCCTTAAAGGTTGACAAAAAGAAGGAAGAATGTTTCCTTCCTCCAGTTTATGAGCATGACATCGTGCCCCAGCCTCCTGCCAATGCTCACTCAACATCAACATCTCATGCTACTGACAGAGGTGACAATCTTCAGGCATCTGAGGAAATTACTGTTCACAGCACCACTGTGGATCACACACGTTCCTTAGTTACTTACACTGGGCATGCAAGGGGGAGAACACATGCTGACCCTGCACTTGCTCCTGGTAGCCACAGTGGTGACACCATGGACCCTGTGCAACATTCTGACCCTGTTCTTGATACCTGCTTAGAAGAGAACAGTGTCTTAGCTGAGAACTGATCAGGAATCTGCTCTTCTTTGTATCCCAGGCGACGCGTTGGACCCTCCTCAGAACTCAAATATGTGGATTTTTGATGCAAATCCCACGGACTCCCCCTGTTATGTAATAATTACTCACCCCGTGGTATTTTCAAGTGGGGCAGCGACCACATCATTGCTGTTCCTCATATCATCAATATTGTTGCTGAAATTTGTGGCTTTGGTGATAACGTGGGTATTGAACCTTATTTAGCAATCCTGCACAGTTAAAGTTACAAGGAGATTAACAAGGTAAGTTAGACCGTAACAATGGCTTAAAACAGATAAATATTTCTGTGCTCAAAATCCAATTCTCTTTGGCTCTAATATGTATGATAAATACATTTCATACTTTGTATCGGACTCTTTAGATATTACCTAAAAGTACAAAAAATGATTATCTTTTCCAGTCATATTGAAAATGCATCACATAAAATTAACAAAATCAGTTTAGTCCAACCAAACTGATCAAGTAAAGTTGGTAAGCTCACAGTTGTCTCCCATGCTGGAATGAGGAAATGTTTTTTACTCTTAATGTGGAACTTGTATTTTCTGAATATCTAAGCTGGGAAATGTAACTGTTAGATATTAGTTTCTATTTTTCTGTGTCCATACACTATGACTTATGTGGACAGCATCGTTTTGTAAACAAACACCCCAAAAGAAAAAAACCTCTGAGAATAAAATCAATGAAACAAGACTCCACCTTCTCACCATTCTCAATACAATGATATTCATTGTGACATGACACTACATAGGATTCTACTGGTGATGCCTCTGTTACTGCTTATCCTGACGATGCCACCCATGATGTCCTTGATACTACTGATCATTCTTGTTTTTCTTTTTAGTTTCCACTGAAGCACCTATGAGGAGCTACTGGTATCTACTGATAGTCTGTCAGAAATACTTTATAAAATTTATAAATTTTAATGTTTAGTTTTTTTGAAAATTGAATTATATATATATATATCACTTTGTAATAGCATTTTATTAAAATCTATTATGAAAATATTTTAAGCTGTTTCTTTGTGTTCTGCAAGCTGATGGCATGACCTCTTGGTGACATGATTAAAGAGAAAGCTTCAATTTTAGCTATCAGAGTTAGAACAGAAAGAGGCATATCAAATCACCCAGAGAAGAAATAGATGTTGGCTGAACATAGTCAACTGCACCTGCCTATGACAGAAGCAGAGCAGAGAGCCAGAGGGAGAGAGACACAGGAGGAGACACAGAGGCAGAGGAACATAGAGACAGGAGGAGAAAGAAAGATAGGTTTAGAAAGAGAATGAGAAGCTGGGATAGGGGTGCTTCTGAACTAGAGGGAGTTTAGGGTAGGGGAGCAGGGTAGAAGACCTAGAACACGAGCATGGACTCTGAAATGTACAGTGGGTACTTGTGCTCCTGGAGGAGCCGGGAGGCTAGTCTGTACGTTATTATAGTAATAGACACCACAGGTAGTCAATTTTTCCTACTGCCAGTGAGAAGAGAAATGACCCCTTTGAGAAGAGGAGGTAGCTTCACAAGTTTTTAAGGAATGTTGGATTTATCGACCCTCCAGAAATCCTCCAAAAGTCCAGGTTGAGGCCATTTCTGGGTATCTGGGCTAGCAATGTCAGTTTTGGAAACTGGACAATTTTAGTGGATTTTGCCAAGGCACAAACCAGCCTTGTTGAGGTTTCCATACTCAAACTGCTCTCACATGAGTAAAAACACCACCCAAACTGCTCTATTGGCCTTAAAACCCAGAGAGTTAAAGTGTGACTTCTTACCTACATTACCTTTTTCTTTAATTTTTATGACATCCCATGCCCCGGCACACATTAAGTGAGCAGAATCCCTCACTGAGGGTGGGGCCTTATGACCCCCTTCCTGTGTATGATTATCATTGTGTCCTGGACACTGTTTCACAGAAACCATCTACAACCTCTTCCTCTCTCTTCCAAAGCAGTCCCTGAGCCTTGCAGCATGTTATGGTTCAGATGTCCTGCTGAGGTTTGAGAACTGCACAGTTGTGCATTCTCTAAACTTTGGCCAGGTGTGAGTCTGTGCATTCAGCAGAGCCCACTTTCTAAAGAAACCTCTCTCATTAGGCATCACAGTTGCTCGAATGTATAGGTGTCAGCGAGAGTACTTAGAAGGCAGCTTGATGCCATTATAATTTTAACAAAACAACAGAGGGCCTATTGTGTGGCTTCAACACTTCAGTGATTAACTCAGGCTCACCAATACCACATCAGTGTGGCAATAAGAGAAGAAATAAAAGCACTTCCACTGGATGTCATTTCCAGGTTGAATTTTCTCCATGTTTTTTGTCTTCTCTCCTCTGTTTGTTGCATGAATCCAAAGCCATGTCTTTCTGAAGTCTGTCTGTCCCTATGTCCATTTTTTGTGTCTGAGTCTGTGTCTGTCCCTATGTCTGTCTGTCACTACATCTGTTCTTGTGTGTGAATTTTTGTATCTGCCTCTTTTGTTGCTCTCTCTTTTATTGAATTTCCCCATAAGAATCACATGGGGAAGGAGTGGGATACTTTACAGAAATCATTCATGGAGTCTTACAAGGGATTAAGGTAATGAGCACAGCTGAACTCAACTCACCCAGACAGGAAAAAAAATTACAAATATCACAATTGCCCAGTAATACTGATGTGTTCAACTGTTTTAGTCGATAGTCACTTAAGAGTGTTTTCAACCTCTATGTTTGCTCTTTTATCCAAGTGATACACATGAATTGTTCTGGATCAGGGGCACAGAAAAAGACATAATTTAACATGACAATTAAGTAATTAGTTTAGTTTGCAAAAGGTGGCTATGTAGGAAGATCAAGGAAAGTGGTGGTAATTGTTACATTTTTCTCTTAAAAGTGGGCTAAGCAATCAATTTGAGTACACAGTAGGAGAGCAGCTTTACGTCTTAAGTGACCTAAAGGTATGTTATGAACTCTGGCTGTGATGTCCAGCAAAGGTTCCAGTCTCTAGAATAAGAGATATTTCCATATTACATCACCATGGCCTCAGTTATTGGGCTCTTAACCAAGTTTACGGAACCAGCCAAGAGTTCCCTACTGTGTGGTAGACCTAAAATCAAATCCCAAAATTCATTGTTCCTATAAGAGTCAACACACTATCACATGGAGAATGTCTTTCCAGGAAGTTATAACATGCAGGGTCTACAGATGGATAGAATCATTGTCAACTTTCCTCATCCAGTAGCTTTCATAGAAGCTCTAGGACTGCAAAAGCTGGCCAGCACAGATACAACATGACTTCTAAATGTCCTATATCCCAAGGGGTGTAGTGTGTTCAAAAGAGTCATACAGTCTAACTCTCATGTGTAAATGAGGACATGGGCAGAAGCCTGTAATGTTTGAAAGGAGCCCCCATTACTTCACAGCTCAGAGGGAACTCTCTCACAGTATTGGAACCTTTGCTTAGTTAACTTAATCTTCTGTGAGGAACTTTATCCATGCATGCAGGGCTCCATCATTCAGTTGTTTTACTTAGGCTTCCAAGGATGTAGCTCTATTCATTAGGCTTGGTGACAAACCATGATCCATGTGTGGAGGTCAGAGGATCATTTCCTGGATCATTTTCATACCTTTCACTATGTGATTTCCCAACATCAAGCTTAACATTATATGGTTGGCATCAAGCACCTTAACATGCTAAACTATTTAACCTGTCCCTCAAATGTTTTTAAATGACTTAAAATGTAACATTTTTCCAAAATGATTTTTTTCCTCTATGCTTACTCTTGGTTAACCCTTTCATCATCACCACACATCTCCCATCCCTGGTTAAACCTCTCCACTTGCAAGATTTCCTTACCCCGTCCACAGTGCATTTCCTCTGCCATCCTACTTCCCTCCAGGCCTGTTCTCCTCTAATGATCTATTTCATGCTTTCTGGCTTTTACAGGCACTCTAAACTAAAAACACTAATCTGAGGATTCAAGGCTTGGAACCACATGTAAGACAAAAGGGGCACAGAAATATTCAGTCCATACAAAGAACCAGGGACATCATTGGCTGCATGACAGCTCCTTAATTACCAAGGCGTCTGGGGCAAGCTTAAATTCAAGGGCATATGGGCCACACCCTCAACTCATTTGACCTAGAACAACCCTAACCACAAAGGATCCAGGACCACAGTATGGCATGAAGCAAGAAAAGGACCCATTTTAATGACCAAACAACATGGCCATGCCTTAATACAAAGAGTGTATAGGCTGCTCCAGACCTTATCCTGACATCAGATGATACTTTTTTGCCAAATCAGATGCTTTTTTGCTTGAAAAATATTGTGAATGTCTAAGCTGTGAAGAATGAATAAACTTTGGAGCATTAGAGGAAAACAACATTAGAGAAGGTGTTACAATGGGCTAGAAGAATAACGTCATGCATGAGAGAATTAGGAGGGAAACACCAAGAGTAAAGATAGAGGAGGGTAGCAAAGGAGCACCCTGAAAGCACCATGAGAGAATACAGAAGGAATCTATCAGAATAAGTCTGAGTGTACATTTCCTAAGCCCCTCAGATAAAGAAGTTTCAGTTTGTGCTACATAGTGGACTTCCCCTTCAGTGCTGTCAGCAGCCTGGAAGCTGGTTCTTTCAAATGGTTACAGGCATTTTGCAGTGCACATGCCTTGCTTGCTGGTATACAAGTGTCAGTCTCACACAGGATACACACCATGAGTGCTGCTGCAGTTGTGTCAGCCTCCTGCAGTGCATGCAGCAGAAGTGCTGGGTTACTGGTTTTCATTTGCGGCAGTGTGTTCACAATGAGTGGTAGGATATAGACATGAATCTCTGACAGTACCTGCCCCATGAGTGATAGGTGAGCTATGTGAGTCTCCATCCACACAGAAACCATTAGTTCTTCAGTCTCAGTACATTCACATTATTGCTGGAGTTTAGACATAATCCTCCCACAGTACATGCGTTATGATTACCGTGAGACACATCTAAGTCTGCCACAGTACATTCATAATCAGTGCTGGTTTCCACCCCTAAGCCCACAATAATTCATGAACAATGAATTCTTGGTTTTAAGTAAGAGCTTCCAGCAGGACATGAGCCATGAGTGCTAGATACAACCATGATCCTAGCACACTACAGGGAGGCTCATGCTTATAAACCTGTACTCCTTGTGAATAAAATGTGTGAGACTCAAACAAGTAACTGAGCACTAATCATGTGTGCACAGCAAGATTCTCATGCCTATATCCAAGCCTTCACAGTGCAAGCACTATTGTGGACTCATGTCTAACATGAGGGCCAGGCTGTTGGGGTTTCTGTCCCACCCGGTACCCCACAGATGGCAAGTCCCAGAGAAAATCACACAGAGATATCCATAAGTTATAAAACTGATTGGTCCATTAACTCAGGCTTCTTGTTAACTCTTGTAGCTTATATTAACCCATTGTTCTTATCTATGTTAGCCACATTGCTCAGTACCTTACTCTGCCAGGCAGATTACACCCTGCTTCTTCTGTGGTCTGGGCAGGACTGCAAGTGGAGCTTCCTGCTTCCCAGAATACTCCTGTTCTCATCGCCCCGCCTCTACTTCCTGTATGGTTGACCCACCTATACTTCCTGTCTGGCTAATCAGCATTCATTTAAAACATGATTGACAGAATAGAGATAATTCTCCCGCACCAGCATCGTCATGCTTGTATCCTGACACTCAATGTGCATGTACTGTTGGAGGCTGACACATTTCCAACCACTCATGGTGCATGTACTTTGAAAGTAACATACATACATCCCAACGTGTACTGTGGTGCTCTTACAGCTAACACTCAGCATTAATCGTGCATTTACAATGGGGGCTTAACAACTGTATTGCAGCACTCATGGTAATCTACTGTATGAGGCTCAAACCATTAATCCAGCATTCTTATTGAACATACTGTAGTGGACTTGTGGCTGCAGC